CCGTGCCGTGCCATCCCGTGCCGTGCCATCCCGTGCCGTGCCATCCCGTGCCGTGCCATCCCGTGCCGTGCCATCCCGTGCCGTGCCATCCCGTGCCTTGCCATCCCGTGCCTTACCTGGAACAGGGACCTCCAACCCAGGACCCTCATCCCACAGCACACCCAGTACCAGCCCCTGTTCCATCTCCTGCCTCACACGATACAGTCACAGAATGGTTGGGTTGGATGGGACCTCAAAGATTATCTGTTTCCAAGCTCCTGCCGTGGCTGGGGTTGCCAACAGCTAAATCAGGAACCAGGTGAGGCTGCACTGGGTCCCATCCAAGCTGAATGCCTCCAGGGATAGGGCAACCACAGCATCTCCACACCAAGGCCCCATCCTGCACTCCAGCTGGTACTGGTGCCCCCGTCCCATCCTGTGCCCACACCGAGTCCTGCTGTTCCTCCCCAAAGCTGACTCTTCTCCCTGGCTTTTCCAATTGGGGTTTCAGGTTGGAAATCCCCACTGACACCCCTGGGAGTGCACTGGGTCCCCTTGGCAGCACAGTGTGTCAGTGCCACCTCTGAGCAGCTTTTGGGGATTTTCTCCCATGGCTGTGGCAGCTCTTGGTGTGCTTGAGGCTGAGGGTGCTGCAGGGGGTTGGAAGGGAACTGGAGCAGAGGACCCCCATATGGTGTTTTCCCTTCTCATCTGCAGTGCACGTGGCTCCTCCGCAGCACTGGCCCTTCTAAGTGTGCCAAGCTGCCACCTGGGAACCCCCGGCAGTGACATCTCTGCAGGCTTTGCTGCTGTCATGTGGAGAGGCAGTGTGTGAGATAGGGGCTGTGCCAGCTGCCAGCACAGCTGCGGAGTGACATGAGCTGGGTAGCAGATGGGGACACTGTGGCACTTTAGGTGACCACGTCTGAGTGCCAGGGGGTTGCAGGAAGAGGACAGGAGGTGGCACGGTGCTCAGCCCTCCCCTCCGTGTGGCTGCGTGGGCTTCCTTTGTGCTGCCAACGTAAAGACCTTGAGAGGAGGTGAGCTGGGCTCTAATGCTTGAGCTTGCATGCTTGCTTTGTTTCTTGCAGCTTGAGCGCTCAGTGCCCATTATTATTTGGCTCTGCTCAAATCTGGGCCGGCTGCTCCCAGCCGTGAGTCTCCAAGCAGCAGGCACACGTGTGTGGAGCCCTATGGCACGTGCAAGGAGTGATGTTTGAAGGGCAAGCAGCTCCTTTGGGGATTGAGCTGTGCCTGACTCCCCCTCACCGTTTCCCACGCTGCCCCGTGAGGATGCTGCTTGCTAGGTTTTGGGGCTGCCTGAGGTGCCCAGCAGCCCTGTGTCCTGCCCTAGGGCTGAGGTTTCACTCCTGCTGCTCTCTTTGCCCCCAGGTTCTGCGGGGAGTGCCTGCAGCCCTGCCTCCAGGTGCCATCCCCTCTCTGCCCGCTCTGCCGCATGCCCTTCGACCCCAAGAAGGTAGAGAAGGCTTCCAGTGTGGAGAAACAGCTCTCATCCTACAAGGCTCCCTGCAGAGGCTGCAGCAAGAAGGTAAAGCATGGCCCAGCCCAGCAGTCAGGTGTGGGGTGCTTCTGGACCGGCTGCAAGGCTGTGATTCGTGGTGCACCTCCACAGGCTGTGCTGGTTGCTTTCTGCCTTCCCCTGACAGTGGAGATTTCCCTGTAGCTGCCTCTGTGTCACCCTGAAACAAACCACTGTCATGGTGGCAGAGCAGTTCAGGGCTATGCATGTCAACAGTTCCTCTTTTGCAAAGGAAATTGAAGCTGGTGCTGCAATAGTGCAGCCAGCCTGACTTTCTGCGTGTAACCTCGGCTTGCTCTGCTGTTGATTGGCCAAAACGTGGTGAAAACTGCTTTCCTCTACCACACTGGTGGCTCTGGTGCTTTGTCTGACAGGTGAATGTGTTCCTGCAGCCTCTGGGAATGTTTCTCCTCTCCTCCTCCAGGTGACCCTAGCGAAAATGCGGTCTCACGTCTCGTCTTGTGCAAAGGTGCAGGAGCAGATGGCCAACTGCCCCAAGTTTGTCCCAGTTGTCCCCACATCCCAGCCTATCCCCAGGTACTGTCATGCATCACATATAAAAATGCAGATTGCACAGATGCTCTCATCCATCTTCACTAGAAGCTCTAAAATCCAAACACAGGTTTTGTTTGCTCCTTCTCCCGGGCCGTTCACAACCACAAACCTCAGCATGCTTATCCTGCTGGCATCTGCAGCCCTGGCACTGCCCCGTGTTTCAGCCAGCGAGAAGGGACTGAGCAGATCAGGGTGGCTGAGCTCATGGCTGGGCTGGGAACAGGCTGGTTTGGCTTTACCGTGGGCAGGTGGGACACAGCAGAACAGGCAGCAGCAGAGGTGGCTGGGTGCGTTTGGAAGAAGTTGATGCAGGCACTTGGCAGGGCTCTGAGCTTGTTCTCATTCTCTTTAGCAATATTCCCAATCGCTCAACGTTTGTGTGCCCATATTGTGGGGCCCGGAATCTGGACCAGCAGGAACTGGTAAAGCACTGCATGGAGAATCACCGCAATGACCCCAACAAAGTGGTGAGCAAGGCTGGTTCTGGGTGGGTAATGCTGGGAATATGACTAGATTCACAGCAGCCCCTGCTGGCTTTGTTAGAGGCTCTCTGGAGCGAGCTGCCTCTGTCTCACTGTGCTTATGACCGAGCTGGTGCTGGATTTGCTCTCTCTCTTGCTGTTGATTTGACTGAGGTGTGGGGAACTCGCAGCTCTGGCATCATCTGAAAGGTGCTCATGTATACATTTAACTAGTCAGCAAGCTAAAAGCAGTCTGGGCTACGTGCCAGCAGCTTTGTGCACAGAGGGATCTGCTGAGAGGGCAGAGGCACTTGGCATACCCACTGCAGTGGATACCCAACCCCAGACAGAGGGACACTGCTCACTTCTCTCTTGTGCCATGGCTGCAGCAGCTCCCTGATGCCCCCCAGGAGAGCTGGAGGCGGCTCAGTGCCCACATCTCACAGCTGTCCTGTCCCTGCCTGCTGCAGGTATGCCCTGTCTGCTCAGCCATGCCCTGGGGGGACCCCAGCTACAAGAGTGCAAACTTCCTGCAGCACCTCCTGCACCGGCACAAGTTCTCCTACGACACCTTTGTGGTGAGTATGGCTGTGAGCCAGAACAGAATCATCTTCCCTGTATCCCACACAGAGTGTCTGGGTGACAAATCCAGCCCTTCTTGCCTGCCAGGATTTGCCTGTCCTGGTTTGCAGCACATTGAGGGGTGCAAGGGGAAAGTTTCTCCTTTGGGCTTTGTGGGATGCATGCAGCACACATAGCCCCACTTGGGAGAGCTTCTGGGTGTTCACACTGGGCCTTGTTAGACACACACTAAGGCAAAAGTCACCCCAAGTGCAGCAGAGAGAAATGTTATCCCTCCCCATGAAGATGGTTTGTTTATTTCCATGTGCTCCATTAAACTCTTCCCCTGAGGGACTGTAATACAAAAGGCCTTTTCTTCAAGGCTTCACGTGGGGAAACACGAGGAGAGGGCGAGGAGCAGCCCAGCCTGCAGCCTGGAAGATCTGGCTACAGCACAGGGGGACGTTCTTTGGGGGGCTGCAGACCATCTGAGCGGGGCGTAGGAGTGTGACTGTGCAGCTGTGGTCACAGGGACTAGCAGATGGTTTTATTAGCATCCTAACTTTGTTGCCTGGACCTCCCTGCAACTATTTGCAGAGAAACATCCCCAGCCCAGGAAGGGGTTACTGACTGGAGCACTGGAGAAGCGTGTAGCCTTGCAAGAAAGCTTTCCCTGGAGCCCATCTGGGAAACCATGGCCAGTTTCATCCCTGCCTGCTGCCAGCTCTGAAAGCAGGGGTGATGTCAGGAGTCTCAACCCAGGCAGGAGAGGGACTGAGACGCAAAGGCAGGGCAGCACAGCCTCGCACCACTGCCTTCCTGACCATCCATTCTTTGTTTTTAGGACTACAACATCGACGAGGAGGCAGCGCTGCAGGCTGCTCTGGCTCTGTCACTCTCTGAGAACTGAGGGCTGCCGTGGAGCTTTGCTTCGGATCCCACCTCACACCCCTTTTTGCACACTCGACCTTCCTGCTGGGGAAGGCATGGAACTCGTTGCCCCCTGAGAATCAAGGCCTCTCTTCCCTCACCTCTCTGGGCAGATCCCACCACCACGAAGAAGGGGCAGATGCCTCAGCATCACTCTGGACTGGTGAGTGAGCAGAGCCGTCCGCTGCTGGGAGGAGAGAGGACAGGGGACCGTTCCTCAGTTAGGCATTTCATATCCGTACACGGAGTGTATACCTGTATCCAGATCTATTTATTATTAGATGCTTTTTGGCACCGTTGGTCTTCATGCTCTTTGTTGCAATTTGATAGGTACGTAAAACTACGTTGCGTTTTATGCAGAAATGCCCTCGTTTCAAACTGCAACCATCCACGTCCTTTTGAGGTTTTGTTTTCCTTTTTGGAAAAGGAAGAAAGCAGCACAGAGTGTTTTGTTCCTTTTTAAACCCCACGAGGTTATTTCTGGAGACGTCGCTCTGTCCGTCCGTCCCCACGCTGCAGTTGGGAGCTGCCTCCTCTCCCTGCTGCCACACAGCCCAGCCCAAAAGCAGCAGGGCTGAATCCCAGAGCGAGACTGCAGGCCTGCTGTGCCCACCTTGGAGCTGTGGACTGTCCCAGTGCGACTCCCACCTCCCTCCTTTTGTACCAGCTCTTGTAATACTGCGTTCTGTTTTTCTACATGAAGCGGCGTGACGCCTTTTCCACGTTTTATAGAGCAGGAACAGAAGCTGTTACTCTTCACACCGCAATATCCGTCACTGGGGACGAGAGTATTTTTATGGGACATTATTAAGAAAGTATATTTTTTAACAAAGCAACAAAAAGAAACCAACCAAACGAACGTGCTGTGGATTTGAAATGGGAGAGGGAGGGAAGAGCTGGACCCTGGGCCTGCGGCTGGGACTCTGCTGAGCCACGTGAGCAGCTGGGCTTCCTCCTCTCTTCTCTCCAACCTGTTCTGTCCCCTTCTGCTGTCAGCTTTTCTCTGCAGGCAGCGATGAGGCCGTGTCAGCGCAGTGCTGTGTTGGTCAGAGCACAGCCAGCCCCACAGCTCTGCTTCAAAAAGGACCTTTGGGAGGACAAGCAGCCCCTTTGTCGCGTGGCTGTGATCCCTGGGCTGTTGGCTGCGTCGCTGGGCTCCTCAGGTTCCTGCTGGGTGCAGCTTCTCTGAACTGTGAGTGAGCTTCCTTCCTCTCTGCCCACAGTTTGCTCTCTCAGATGCTTGTAATTAAACAGCAAGCAGTGTTTGAGTGCTGGGCTGGGAGCAAAGGGTGCAGCCCACCAGGCTGGGCTTGCAAAAGCTCTGCTGGAAATTGCCCAAGTTTGGATTTTCCTCCAAACCCATGGTGCTGCTGTAACCCTTTGGCATGGCAGGGGAGGATTTCCCTAGGAGGCTTTGTGCTCCTGCAGTGGCACTGTTAATCCTTGCAGGCAGAGCTGGCTGCGTGGCACTGCTGGCTGTAACCCAGAGGGGCAGCTTGCATTTGGGTGCATGGTGAGGAAGCAAGAGGGTTTGGTGCTGCCAACTGGTGCTCAGTGCAGAGCAGCTGGGTTGGGTGGGGATGTCTGCCCTTGGTGGCTGTGCAGAATGCCAGCCCTAATGCAGAGCATCTGGTCCCCTGAACCAGGAGACTTCAGGATGCTTCTCTCAGGTGGGCAGTTGCTGCTCTGAGTGAAGCTCCATAGCTCCCTGTACTGGACAGGCAGAAATCAGCTGCAGGGCACGTGCTGTGCTCCCGTGCCATGCAGTGTTGGGGCAGAAGGTGCAGCTCTTTCTCCCCTTCCCTTTTGCCTTGCAGCCCTGCCCAGGCCAGCAGGTCTCTGTGCCCCACTGTCCCCTTCCTCCCTGCCCTGTGCTGTCTGCTCTGCTCAGCTGAGTGTGAGTGGAAGGGAGATCTGCCTGGCACAGCCGTAGCCCTGTGCAGCATAATTCCCTTCCCACGTAATGAGTTGCCAGCAGCTGGAGGAGAAGAGCTGCGTGTTGGTGCCCTGCCACCCTCTGGGCTCACACCAGCAAGGGGGCTGGCCCAGGTTTACCAAGTGGAGGCAGCGAGTTGACACCTGCTTCCCAACAAGGCTTTGGGCAGAGTGCTCCGGAGGGCAGCAGCCCCACTGTGTGCTGGAGGAGGTCCCAAGGAGTCTCTCCGAGTTGGACCCCAAGCTTTGCCCCCACAGTCCCATCTGGGGCTGCCCCAAAGCTATGCCAAAGGACAGCGTGCTGCTGGGATGTGCCACTGCTCTGCTCTGGGGCTGTATCTATGCCCGTGGGGCTGTGCTGCTGCCTGCATCCCCACACTCAGAGAAGCATCCTTTTGTGGGCTGCCTGAGTCCTGGCTCCTTCCAGCTGTGCTCTAGCAATACTGTCTTTTTACTTCAAGTAGTACCAAGTGTTCTGGGGGCCGGGATCTCCCCTGTGCTTCTGGCAGCCCCCTGGCAGGGGGTAAGGGCTGGGGCTGCTCTGCTCCCTCTGTGCAGCCAGGGTTAGTGGGAAGCAGCGGTGTCTTCCCTACCCAGCACTGTCCCCTTGCCGTGTGTCCAGCCCAGGGGCTTTACCTGCTCCCACTGGAGCAGGGACATCAGAGAGGAACCTAGTTGGGTTTCCTTGTCTCCTCCTTGTCTGGGACCCCCAGGTTCCTGCTTAGAGGGCTCTGCCTCATGCAGCCCTCCATTGGAGCTCTCGCTGCCTGCCTTGGGCCATCTGGGACAGTGCTTTTAATGCCTCTGTCTCCTTCCTCTTCCTCCTCCTCCTCTTCCTCCTTTTTGCCCCGGCAGTGTTGGAGCAGGGGCAGCAGTGGCTGCTTTTGTAAAGCACTTTAAGGCAGCGCGGGCAGCTCCTGCCTCTTGCACCCCTTGGTGTGGGGTTGGGAATCCTGCTGTGCTGCCAGCCGTGCTCGTCCATGTTACCCTGACTTTTTGCATAACGAGTAGAACTTTTAACGAGACATAATGTTTTTTGAAAAAGAAGGAAAGAATAATAATAACAATAATAATTATGAAAATACGACGACGTATTTGTAGCAAACCATTTTTTCTCAATAAAGGCAGTTTCATCCATGGGCGGCCTGGACTGCAGTCTGTGCCCCCCAGGGTGTCCAAGGGGGGAGCAGGAGGGGATGGCACTGGGGCCAAAATCCTTCCCTGTCCCCTGAGTCATCAACTCCTGCCATTCATGGAGGGATTTGGCCATGCTGTGACATCACCAGACCCCATGGGAGCCCCGTGGCCACCTGTGCCCAGTCCTGGCTGCGTGTCCTGGCACACGCTGAGCTGCTGTCCCAAAAGCACTGCTGGGTGTGAGCCAAGGCAGTGTGATGGGTGTTCCTGCTCCGGGTGTCCTGGCTCCGTGCCCCTATGGAGTTCCCTGGGGACGCAGTGCTGGCTCTGCTCAGCCTCTTTTTGCACTTCAGACACCCTGAGGCTGAGTGTCCTCCTTCAGTTTCTGCACCATAGAGGGTTTTGGAGCTTCAGGCTCTTAAAGGTGGAGCTGAGCCCCACGGCTGTCAGCAGGGAGATGTCCCTTATTGATGCAGTGCATCCTCATCCCCATCCCACATCCCCTGCCCTGCTCACCGCTGTGTCCCCATGGATGGAGCCAAGCTGCCCTCGTGCCCCCAAGCCAGGCTTTTTGGGCTGAGGGGGGTCTGTGCTGCTCCTGGCTGCTTTTGGGTGGGAAGCCCTATAAAGAAAAGCAGAGATATTGGGTTTTACCGAGCTCAGCTTTAACCCAAGCACAGTGCCATGGCTCCCCTGGCTGTGCCCTGCTGGCTGTGGGGTCCCTGGGGCTGGAGCCGGCTGTCCCTCGGGTCTTAGCCCTGCTTGCTGAGGAGACTTCTAGCCTGGGTGCTCCTGTAGGATTTGTACCCCAGGGATCCCACCAATAACTGAGCATCCCCAGCATGGTGGTGGTGCCCCACGGTGTCACCCTGGTGGCTGGGGAGCCCTGGGGGCATTTTGGGGGATGTCAGCAGAGGGATGCCACACCTCCCCCCTGCCCGCGTGCTGTTTGCAGCCCCGCTGGGCTAAATCGGGTCCCCACCTGTCCCTGCGGCGGGGAAAGGATCCCACACCCCAAAATAGCCGTGTGCCTCCTCTCGCCCATGGAAAATGCTTGTAAAGCTCTGGGGGGGAGGCACTCAGAGCCTAGGGTGGCCCCCGCCGCACCTGCCAGCACCCATTGGGGGGGGGGTCGTCCAAAATACTCCCTATGGGCTGCTCCCTCAGCCTTCTTGTGGGGGCTTTTGGGCCCACCCCAGCAGTGTCACCCACATACCAGGCGTGTGCCCACCTCCAGGCACAGGGACGAGGGACAAAAACACCCCACGGGAGTGAGGGGATACTGGGGGGGGGGGAGTGGATCTCGGCTGCCAAAGGGGGAATAGGGGCTTGTCGGGCTGGGGTGCTGGGAGCACTGGGGATACTGGGAGCGTTGCCACTGGGGCTGTATAGGGGGGTTACTGTGGGCTCTGGGTGGCAATGGGGTGCTGGGGGCACCGGGATAGGGGCACTGCGAGCACGGACCCCCAGCACGGCCCATCTCCGCGCATGCGCGCTGCCCACACGGCACCACGTTGGCCCCGCCCCCTTCACGCCTTCGCTCTGCTCCATCAATGGGCGGGATGGGGCGGGACCGCCCCGTGGTCCGATCTCTGCTATTGGTCTTCCGGCCCCGGCCGCTGTGCCTCCAGCCAATGGCGTGGCGGGACTCGCACGCGCGAGCGGCTGGGCGGGGCGTGGCGGCGGCGGTGTGCGGAAGCATGGCGGCGGAACGGGGCACGGCGCGGGTCACCTGCACAGCGCCCGTCAACATCGCCGTCATCAAATACTGTGAGTGCGGGCGGGGGGCGCGGGGTCGTGCCGTGCCGGGTTTTGCTGTGCTAAGTGTCGAGCCGTGCCAGGCAGTGCCATGCTGTGCTGAGCTGTGCTACGCCGTGCCACGCCGTGCCATGCCCACCACAAGCAGTGCCGTGCTGTGTGGTGCCGTTCCAAGCAGTATGGCATGCTGTGCCAGGCTGTGCTGATGGGCAGCAAGCAGTGCCATGCCATGCCAAGTGGTGCCGTGCCATGCCAGGCAGCGCCGTGCTGTGCACAGTGGCACTGTGCCGTGCCGAGCATTGCTGTACCTCTCCACATCTCTCGCAGGGGGTAAGCGTGACACCGACCTCATCCTGCCCATCAACTCCTCACTCAGCGTGACGCTGCACCAGGACCAGGTTAGTGCAGGGCTTCGTGCCCACCTCCAGCCCTGGGGGATCCGATATCCCCCTCCCCATCCCCGGGGCTGCATGTCCCCGAGCTCAGTGCCATCCCATACAGCTGAGGACCACCACCACAGCCGCCGCGTGCCGTGACTTCACCGAGGACCGCCTGTGGCTGAATGGGGAGGAGGTGGATGCGGGGCAGCCCCGGCTGCAGGCCTGCCTGCGAGAAGGTGAGCTGTGCCGGGATGGGGGCACAGAGCCACATGTCCTGTGCTTCCTTATAACCCCATCCCGGCACAGTGAGGCGCTTGGCCCGCAAGAGACGCGGTGACGATGCTGCAGCCCCACTCAGCCTCTCCTACAAAGTGCACGTCGCCTCCGAGAACAACTTCCCCACTGCTGCCGGGTTGGCATCCTCAGCTGCTGGTTATGCCTGCCTGGGTGGGTATGGGGGACAGCGGGGGGTGGAGGGTGGGGTGATGGGGACAGCGTGAGCACAGCAGTGTTATCCCTGCAGTGTCAGCGCTGGCACGGCTGTATGGTGTGGAGGGTGAGCTGTCGGAGGTGGCACGGCGTGGGTCGGGCAGTGCGTGCCGCAGTATGCTGGGGGGCTTCGTGCAGTGGCACCGCGGGGAGCGGCCGGACGGCAGGGACAGCGTGGCACAGCAGCTGGCACCTGAGACACACTGGCCGGAGCTGAGCGTCCTCGTGCTGGTGGTGAGGGATGGGATTGCTCTTGGGGCTGGGAGCTGGCCCTTGTGGGATGCCCACATCCTGTGGTCTCGTGTAGGTCAGCGGGGAGAAGAAGGCGGTGGGCAGCACGGCGGGGATGCAGACCAGTGTGGACACCAGCCCCCTGCTGAAGGTGGGTTGGATGTTTGATGATGACCAGCACAGGCTGCCCGGGGAGGTGGGGCAGCCCCATCCCTGGGGGTGTCCCAGAACTGTGGAGACGTGGCACATGGGGACATGGTCAGTGGGCGTAGATCTTAGAAGTCTCCTCCAATGGTTGAGTGCAATGGGGCCGTGGTATTCTAGGGCGGGGGTGAGCTGTGGGGAAGCAAATCCCATGGGATCTGTGAGATGACCCCCCCGATGCTCTCCCCATAGTACCGTGCTGAGGTGGTGGTGCCGGAGCGCATGACCCGCATGGCGCGCTGCATCCAGGATCGGGACTTCGAGGCCTTTGGGCAGCTGACCATGCAGGACAGCAATCAGTTCCACGCCACCTGCCTTGACACCTTCCCTCCCATCTTCTACCTCAACGACATCTCGCAGCGCATCATCGCCCTGGCACACCGCTTCAACGCCCACCATGGGCGCACCAAGGTAGGGCAGCCCCCCCCTCGGCCCCGTCCCGCTGGCACTGTGCACCTCTCACTGTGTCCCCGTCCCCAGGTGGCCTACACCTTCGATGCTGGCCCCAACGCGGTCATCTTCATGCTGGAGGACACCGTGGATGAGTTTGTGGAGGTGGTGAGGCGCAGCTTCCCACCCAACTCCAATGGGGACCAGTAAGGGTGTTGTCATTTGGGACCGGTGGGATGGGAATGGGGTTGGGGTAGGGAAAAGGTGGGGTGGGAATGGGTATGGAGATGGGTGTAGGCACTGATGGGATGGCGATAGGGAGGGAGATGGGGACTGGAGGGATGGGGATGGAGATGTGGATAGGGACTGGTGGGATGGGAATGGGGATGGAACCATGGGACGGGGACATGGGGTTGGGGACAGCTAAGTGCCATCCCTGCTGCAGGTTCCTTCGAGGCCGGCCCGTTGGCACGGCGGTGCTGCCAGAGGAGCTGGTGTCAGCCGTGGTGGTGGATCCAGTGCCAGGGGCCATTCGCTACATCCTGCACACCAAGGTATGGGGGGGGACAGGGCCCCGACCCTACTGCTCCCTGCTGTCCCCTAACACGTCTCCTGTCCCCACAGCCTGGCCCTGGCCCACAGCTCCTGGATGACCCCAGCCAGCACCTGCTGGGCCCTGATGGGCTGCCGTGCCGCTCTGCCTGAGAATGGGGGACTCTGTGATGGGGACGCTATGATGGGGACACCACTGGGGACAGCAGGGATGCCCAGCAGGGGCTGCCCTTGGGGGGCACACAGGCAGGGAGCCACCGTCCCAGTGCCTGCTTTGGGGCTGTGAGGTGCTGTGCTCAGCTGTACCCATCCTGGCCCAGACGTGTCCCCTCCCATTGCCTGGTTTTTACTCTTTTGTAACCAAATAACAGAGGTTTTCCAGCCGCAGCTCTGCTCTGGGGTTTGTGGGTTCTGTTTGCCGTGAGGTGCTGGGGGGGCTGTCCTGCCTCCCCCTGATGTCCACTGCACTGCTGTCCCCTGCAGCCAGCCTCCTGCCGGAGCTCAGCACGCCCTGTGTCCCACCGGGGGTCCACCCGGGTCGCTCTGTGTTCCCCATCAGGGCTGCTCCTGTCCCATGTCATCCTGTGTCCCCGCACCGCCCCGCGTCCCGCTGTGGCCCGGCGCTGCGCTGCGGGGGCGTGGCCTGCACGAAAGGGGGCGTGGTTTGTGTTCGGTGGGCGTGGCTTGTGGTTAACGGGCGTGGTTTGTAATTAGTGGGGGTGGCAGGAGCGTAATTTATGGGCGTGGTTTACGAGAAGGGGACGTGGCCAAAGGAGGGGAAGGGGTTCGGCTGCGTCGCTGCACCGCTGCCTTCCGGGTCGGGTTGAGCCGAGTGGAGCCGGGCCATGGGGCAGATCGAGTGGGCAATGTGGGCCAACGAACAGGCGTTGGCGGCCGGGCTGAGTGAGTGCAGGGTTAGGGGGCTGGGTGATGAGGGGGAGGGGGGTCGAAAGGCTGAATATGGGATGGGGATGCAGGGATGAGGTGAGGATATGGGGAGGGGGTTTAGGGGTAGGGAGGCAGGGTTGAGGATGCAGGGCTGTGGAGATGGGATATGGAGAGGGGGTCGAGCCCTCGCCCCACGCAGCGACCCCTGGCTGTGCCCCCCCCGCGCCGCCCCCCGCCCCCCCCCCCCTCCAGCCCGTTTTGGCCCAACCCCCCCCCGGGGATGGAGGAAGTGAGCGGCACCGAGGACGCGGAAGAGCTGACGAGTCTATCGTCCCCATCGTGTGTCACCGTGGGTCTCCCACGCTGTCCCCCCCCGCCATGCCACTACCGGGAGTTAAACTCCCCCCCCCGTTCCCTGCTCGGGCTCCTGAGGGTCCCACCGCGGAGCGTCCCCCGATGTCCCCACTCGTTGGAGGTGCCGGGGGTGGCAGCCATGTCCCCGCTGTCCCGCAGTCATGCTGACCGGAGGAGTCGTGGCGGTGGCTGGGCAGTTCAAGGGCTGGTACTTCGCTGCGTACGCCATGTATCCTTATGGGACTCGGGGTGGGAGGGGGCACCTGACCCTGTGCAGGTGGGGAGGGGCGGGGGGGTGTCCTACATCTCCTTCCCACTGTTTGGCCCCACATCGCTCCATTCCTGCCCCTTTCCCTACAGAATTCACCCCCACCCTTGACCACCTTTCTGCCCCACTCACTATGGATCTCACCCCATACCCTTGGCTCCCAACACCCTTTTCCTTGACTCCCCCCCCCCCCCAACTCAGTGCTGCAGGTGCCTTCGTCTGCCTGCTGGAGTACCCACGCAGCAAGAGGCAGAAGGGCTCCACCATGGAGCGCTGGTGAGTGATGGGGTGGCACTGGGGTTCCTACGTGTTGGCGGGGGGTCCTTTAGGGCTTGGTGCCCCCCCTGACTCTGCATATTACCCCACAGTGGCCAGAGGTACATGACGGCAGTGCTGAAGGTGTTTGGACCCCTCACCCGGAATTATTACATCCGTGCCATCCTGCATGCAGCGTGAGTGGGGTTGGGGATGGGAGGCACACCCTGAACCACTCCCTTCACCCTCCCTTGTGTTCTCAGGCTGGCCGTCCCTGCTGGCTTCCTGCTTTCCACCATCCTGGGCACTGTCTGTCTGGGCATTGCCAGTGGCATCTACCTGCTGGTGAGCTGCTCTGGGGGAGCAGGGGGTGGTGATGGGGTTGAAGGAGAGGGTTTCCCCACTGACTGCCCCCTTTCCTCCCCCCCCCCATGGCCCTGCAGGCAGCTGTGCGTGGGGAGGAGTGGCGACCCATTGAGCAGAAGCCCCGGGAGCGGCCCCATATGGGGGACACCATCAAGCAGCCCCCCAGCAACCCCCCACCGCGACCCCCTGCTGATGCACGCAGGAAGCAGATGGTCGAAGTGGGGGGGCAGGTGAACCCCATCCCCGTAGAGGTTGAGTAACACAGAGCAGGGGGTCCCTGCTGCTGCACTCACTTCCCAGCTGCACCCCTCACCCCCCCACTGGTCCCCAAACCCCTGAGGGGGGGGGGGTCTTCCTCCCCAGCCCCTGGGTGATTTCAGAATCCCTGGGGGCTGTTGAGGTGCCCGCCCCATGTCCCAGGGGACTCTGCCAGCCACACAGCCCCACTGTGCTGCTGGGGTTCACGCAGCTCTGCTCGCTGCACCACCTCTTCACATTTTGTATGTTGTCATTTTTTTTTTTTTTCTTCTTTTCTTTTTTCTCTGGTTGCTTTTTACAATAAAAGGACCGAAAGGCCCCAGATCCTTCCTGACCCCACCGCATTCATTGCCCCTGTGTGCCCTGGATGTGAGGTGGGAGCTCGATGCCCAAATCTTTAGTGATCCCACCGATGGGACAAACCTGGAGTGGGGACAGGCTTGAGGACACGTGGTCCCCAGAGGTGACGCCCAGCCCCTTACCCCCTCCCTCCCCCCCAGCACCCATGGGTGCTCTGAAGATACGTGGGACAACCCCTGTAGGTGGCGCTGAGCCCATGGGATGTGAGTGCCCAGGGCAGAGCTGTGGGAAAGGAGTGGGTGGTGATGGGGTGCTTGTGTGGGGTTGTCCTCCTGTTCTCCCCATTGCTTCCCCCTTCTCCTGGGTGTGCTTTGGGGATGGCAGATGCCCCCCAGCATCCATTGGGGGTTACCCAAAGCACCTTCATCCCTGCATGTTTGGCACCTCCCCTCCAGCATCCACGGGGCACAACGGGGGGGACCCGTGCACCTCTGCCCCTTGCCCTCCCAGTTATCCCAGCGTGGCACAGTGGGAGTCAGGCTTTTATTTTCAGGCTGCACGCTGCCGGCGTTAAATAGCACACGGAGGTCTCAATAAATAGCACTGAGGGGGAATAAATAACTGGGAAGCACCCAGGGAGGGCTGCAGATACGGGCTGAGGCTGAGCCCAGGGCTGCTGCCTTATGGGGAGGCTTAGGGGAGGGTGAGCAATAAATACGGGGTTACAAAAATAAATCCCCCAGCGGGCATCATAAATAACTCATAAATAAATGGTGATGGGGTCGAGGAGGAGGACGGGCTGGGAGGAACGAGTGCTCTAAAACAAGCACGAGGAGGGTGACACGGTCACGGGGTCAGGGGTGCTCCGAGGGAGCGGGCTCAGCGGCCGGTGCGGGGCAGGACGCAGGTGCAGCCCACAGGCACACGGATGTAATCCACCTCGAAGGTGATGAGGCCGGGGCTGGAGGGACGCGGGCAGGGCTTGCGGCGCAGCACCATCATGGTCTGGTGGATGAGCACCGAGTTGAGCGCCGTCGTCTCCCTGCCTGTCTTCACATCCACGCAGCCGGTGCACAGGCACTCGGCGAAGGCCAGCTTGCGTGGGTAGCGGTCCTCGTCCTCGTCGATGCTGCAAGAAGGGCAAGGTGGTGAGCAGCCGCCCCTCCGTGTCCATCCCTCTCCGTCCTTCTCCATCCCACTGTGTCTAATTCTCTCCATCCCTATCCATCCTGCTCCATCCTGCTGCATACTACCTGCTCTGCCCCTCTGTATCCATCCCACTCCATACCGCTGTGCCCATTGCTTTCCAACCCGTTATTTCCATCCCATTCCACCCCAGTGCTTGTTCCAGTCCATCCTGCTGCGTCCTACTGTGTTCGTCCTTATTCATCCCTCTCCATCTCTGTGTTTGTGTTCATCCTGCTGTGTCCATCCTGCTCCATTCCACTCTGTCCATCCCACTGTGCCCATCCCTCTCCATCCCATTGCAGCCATCCCTCTCCATCCTGCTGTGTCCCTCCCTCTCCATCCCTCTGTGCCCATCCCTATCCATTCTGCTGTATCCCAGTCCATCCCTCTCCATCCCATTGCATCCAGCCCTCTCCATCCCAACGTGTTCATCCCACTCCATTCCACGGTGCCCATCCTTCTTCATCCCACTGCATCCATCCCTCTCCATCCCTCTGTGCCCATCCCTCTCCATTCTGCTATATCCCACTATGCCCATCCCTCTCCCTCCCTCTCCATCCCTCTTCATCCCACTATGCCCATCCCTCTTCATCCCACTATGCCCATCCCTCTCCCTCCCTCTCCATCCCTCTTCATCCCACTATGCCC